TATTATCATTATTATTATTATTGGAGGCATCCAACCATTCCTGAGCTACAAGGCCAGCCAACTGAGATGACCAAAATATAAGATCCACTCTGCAATTTTAATGCAATTCTAACCACTGCATGGATAGAACTGCACCAGAAGTGTAGCGGAGCATACAAATGAGGTACGCACCTTGTAAATCAATTTGTTTTTATTTGATAGCTTAGGAGTTGTGAAAGAAGGTGGTGGTGGTGGTGTGTCCAGGACATTTTCCATGTGGTCCTCTTTTCCTTCAGGTAAAGGATGCCCATGGTACAGCCCAGGATGTCTAGAGGGCAACCAAATCTATCCCAACCCTGTTATCTTCTCAATTTTTCATCTTAGCAGGTAGTTTGAATTTTATACAATCACACCTAGTATCTTCTGTCCCTCAGGCCCTTGCTAAGCTTCCACAATTTCACTTCCTAATTCTTTTTCTCATTCCACACTCTTCTGGATAGCAGTGGGCGCTGTTCCTTTCCCTCCCGGTGGCATTTTCCTCATTGAGACTCACAACAATTGTGCCCAATTCCTTCCATCAACTGCTCCCCTTCCAAAGAATTATGAACAATAATGGACACTGGGACATAGCAAAAGCTCAGCCGGTGGTGGGGTGGCCACATGCAGGCACCAGACACTGCCATTTTCTGCAGTTTTCCTCACTTATGCCAAGAGATAAGGACTCCAGGCAAGCCACCCAGTAATCCTAAGACCCTGCTTGCCAAAGTGGAGGACCATCTAGGCTGGCATTTGGCATCCAACAATGAAGAGATGCTAGACATCTCTGGAACCTTCAGGTAAAGTATGGAAGCAAAATGGTGGCCCCTACTTTTTTAACAATCTTGTCACTTATTGCAAGTGATGGTCTTAAATTTTGTGAACCCCCAATGAATTTCAGATTGGCTCCAAACTACAAAGGAATAGCTGCAGTTTCTGGACTCTCAGCATCCTGCAGTCAACCTGGCCACACGATTACCAGGAGATTTTGAGATTTTGTAATCCAAAACCAGCATGTTCTCCAGGCCCTGCTAGTAAATCTGGAATCCCACCATGCCTTGAAGATGAAACCAAGATGCCATCTGGCTTATACCCTCCTAAACTGGTACCAACAGGCATTTTTGAGCAATATTATGAGTATGGAGGCCTGCTTTTACCCATTTAGCCTTTGCCCAAAGGACAGGGATCATTTTGTAGGAAGAGCCGCAATCAACTTGAAATTAATCTCTCACTCTACAGGAGGAAACATACATAATGGGGAATGAGAATATGTTATGAAGTGACATGCATACTACTAAGAATAAAATGTGGGTTCATGCCATGCCAAGAGAGTCTCACGAGTGAGAAAAGAAATCCTCCTCAAACACAGGTCTCAATATCCTCAGAGGAGCAACTGGACAAATGTTTTAGGATCAAAGGGAACTCTTCCTCCCCACCGTCCCACACAATAATGCTTCAGTGGCGAAGATACAAACAATTTCATAACACAGTCTAGTTGTCAAAAGCAATACTGGCAAGTACACGCAACACACTTGACAAATGCGAAATTCATCTGAAATACAAAAAGTTTCAAAAATTACCTAAGGTCCACACAATGCAGAGAGAGAGAACGAGAAAGGGAGGAAGAGAAGAATTGCGATTTTAAAAATAGGCACTTGGTCACCTGATTTCTCTGCCGAAGGTCAATCACTTCAAAGTCCAATCCAGTCATCACGATAAATCAGCAAACTGCACTTTCCTTAAATTTCCCCTGATCCACCAATATTTAGGAAGGTGTCTCGTGTAGTATGTCCCCAAGCTTGGACCTTTGCTTGAACCAGGGATTGTGGGTTAACACAAGCACAAAACAAACCAACAAACCAACTTTAAACCCTAGTTTATGTGAAGCTGTCTTATTTCCATGAATTATAATCTCTGGTCAGATCCAGAGGCAAATAGACATTAACCAAAAGGAAAAGGAACAGCTTCCAAAGGCCCAGCTGCAGTGCAGCAAGATGGGGGAGTTGTGAGGCAGGAGTTCATTACAGTTTGCAAATACCACTAAAAGCCAGTCATTCTCCCTTAATTCTCTCCAAAAGTTATCTCCCATCAGCATGACAAATGGTAAAGAAAAATGGGGGTGGAAGCTTAAAACATCTGGAAGACATCCGATTGAGGAAGACTGCCACGAGCCATAGTACTATGACGTTTTAACAAAGCATGGATTTCCACAGAGCCATTGGATTCAGGTGTTCAGCATACAAAGATGGTTTCATCAACTAGATCGCCTTCTCCTGCTTATATTTCAGCAAATCATCCCACTAAAAAGACATCTACCCACAATGAAGTTATATAAATGATCAGTGAAGCAATATGTCCCCAGAATGCGGTTACGAATGATTCTGGACTGCAACTCCCAGCATCCTTTGAAACTTGCTAGTCTGTTGGGAGTTTCAGTCCAACAGCACCTGAAGGTTGATAACCCAGCTGTATCACCAGCTATTAAGAAAAGTGCTAGCACACAGTTTTAAAAAAATCACACATTTTTTTGATTCAATTCCAGTCCAATGTGCATTCCACAGATTTCCTTGAAGAAGGTCAGGCAGCTCAAGGTTTCATTTGAAGTCACAGTTGTCCTAAAACATAAACAACATAATAACACACAAATACATACACACACACAAGCGTACACTGCAGTCTTTTGTGGTCTCCACCATTCACTGTTGTGAGGGAAATCTATTTCATTTAACTAAAAGCCACTCGTTTCAGTTGTTATGGACAGGTGAATTCAAACATTACCTTCCCTCCTTTCCTGTTATAGAACAGCTTGAGGCTGGTGATCAAGGGGAAGGCAGGCATGGAGAAGGAGGAAACAAGAAGCCAGGTCTCACTTCAATTTAGTTGACATCACTGAGAGCATGATGAATCCCACATCGAAAAAGCCTGTGTGTGAATGTCTCCAGGACAGGGTAGGAAATATGTGCCTCTCCTGTTGCTGTTGGGAGTCAGCCCTTGCCAGACTAGCCAACAGAGAGGAATACTGGGAATTGCTGTACAACATCTGGAGAGCCACAATTACCAATCTGAAGAGCATGACAAGAACAGAGTAAGATAGTACCAAGGCCAAGGAAGGTGAAGTGCGGCCGCTGTACTTAGAGAGCAACTTCAAGCATTCCTTACCATGGCCTCTGTTGCTAGGGCTGGTGGGAACCATAGTCCAAGAACAGCTGGAGGCCCACAACCTTGCCCTCTCCTGATCCGTATAATTTATGGAAGACCTTGGCTTGCATCTTAGTAGGGACTCACAACCAGTTAAGTGCAGCTTACCTACATCGAAACCCTTTATTGAACAGTGTTCAGAAGATGATGAAGAAGTTCAGAGGTTATAGTGCAGGCATGGGCAAACTTCAGCCTTCCGGGTGTTTTAGACTTCAACTCCCACAATTCTTAACAGCCAGTTGGCTGTTAGGGATTGTGGGAATAGAAGTCCAAAACACCCAGAGAGCCGAAGTTTAGACAGTGAAGAAGGGGCCTGAAGAGCAAAGAAAGAAATGACAAAAGCAACAAACAAATTGCTTGCCACAGTCCATGGTGTGCACCATGAATGACTATTTTCCCATTAAAATGTCAGCAGTCAACTGTGTAAGTAAGGAAGGGAATTCAAACACACGAGGCCCTATACTTTGCAGAACTTCAAAGCTGCAAGTGGTGCAGTTGTTTGGTGGAGGCTCCTTCTTTGGAGGTTTTTAAGGAGAGGCTGGATGGCCATCTATTGGGGTGCTTTGAATGCAATTTTCCTGCTTCTTGGCAGAATGGGGTTGGACTGGATGACCCACAAAATCTCATCCAACCCAAGAAATGGGGCTACAAAGTGGAATCCACAACATGCGAGTGTAGAGAAGAGCAAACTACAGACCACCTGCTGCAATGCAACCTGAGCCCTGCCACATGCACAATGGAGGACCTTCTTGCGGCCACACCAGAGGCACTCCAAGTGGCCAGATACTGGTCAAAGGACATTTAATCAACTACCAAGCTTGCAAATTTTGTGTTTTGTCTGTTTGTTTGTTTTGTTCTGTTAGAAATGTAATACAATTGTCTGGTTGCCCCTGACATGATAAATAAATACATTCTATGATTCTCAGTTAATTTTGAAAAGAAACTAGATGACAACTGCCTCTAACATGAAGGACTTAAAAGAATCAAGGATCTGAGTCTACGGATCCTGCGTCTGAAGGCTGCCATGGACTGAGCCAAAGTACCACTGAACAAGGGAAGACATCATGCGTGCCCACATATGTCTCCTTCCAAGCAAACAATTACGGCAAAACAGTGATGGTAGGCTTGGAAAAGAAAGGCATTCTGCACAGAGAACATGTTTTTCCATTCCTTAGTATAGAAAAAAATCCAATAAAGGAAACCACCTTCTCTCCCAGCATTATTTCTGCTTATTTCATGAATCAGGAGGAAAAAAGGTGCATATCAGAGTTTGTGTATACCTTCTTCTATTATTCTGTTCAAAGAGAGTCATGAGGATTATTGCCAGAGGGATAGATCCATCAATGCCAGGCTCTTCCCCTGCCACTGGTTCCTTCCACTGTGTGTCCACCATTGCTTTTCTTCACCAAGCATGAGGTGAGCCTTGTTTCATCACCTGACTGGATAGTTTAGTTCTGCCCTCAGAGCATTATGTTTTGGCTCCTCAGCCAGAGGACCACCAGAGGGCACTGCCTGCCTTCTCTAAAGTGAATGGACCACAATTCAGCTCTTCTACACACAGTCACACTGCAGTTACAAGACTTGAGTAGACAGAGAGAGACAGACAAACACATGGAGACACACAACCTTCACATAACACCAGCAGTGTCTGCTACTGGTGAAAACACCACGAGAGTAAAGCTGAAAACAACCAAAAGCAATTTTTTGGGACAAAACAACAAAGCCAAAAAGGCCTCCCCCTCCCACATAAAAAAGTCATGGATATGCAGCACACCAGGGACCCCAAGACAGTATCAACACCTCAGATGACCACACAATTCCTTTCTTCCTGTCAGTGTTCATCAACCTTTATAAACCCAAAGTCAGAAAATATATAATTTGTTTTCTCCTTCAGATGTACGGAAATTACTTTTTTTATTATAATTATTATTAGCTGAGTCCCATTTGGCATTACCCATCAAGCCCCTCTCAAAGCTGGCTCGTCCTCGATCGCTGAAGTCCAACCAGTCACTCCAATCAACGCGTGTGCACACAAAATCCGTTTTAAAAAAATACTGGAAGCCAAAATGTTCTTCTCCTCCTTGGCCATCTTTGTCTCCACTCCGAAAGCTGCCCTGTCACAGAGTGATGAGGTCAACCAGGTTGCCCTTGGGAGGCGTCATGTTGTCCGGGAAGAAGTTCACCAAAGTATCAAACAGCTGAGTTCGTTGGGCGTAAATGTGATCCACATCGGAAAACCCTGGAGATGCGAGAAATGAGAACAAAGGGAGAGAAATCAAAGGGTTCAGAGGCTGAAAGGAGTGGTTCTTAGAAGCTGTGTCTACTGGCACAAAGAAAACTATTTGAAAAATGGTTGGAACTCTTTTTAAGAAAGCTGATAAATTGATGGGGATGTTTGCAGTTCAAGAGTAAAACAGCACAACATTCACATGTGCTTCTTTCGCAAAGAAAACTACCATTTCTGTACAAGAGGTAGCATATTTTTGCATGGAAAGCAAAACAGGTTTTTTTGGGCAGGAAATGAAGCTTTCTGTTCAGAAAATGTTATAATTCAGGGTTTATTTTGCATAAAATTCACACAGGAATGATTTGTATTGAAAACAACATTTTCTGTGCTGATAATTGCACTTCCTGTGCAGGAATTCATACATTAAAGTATTATCTACATGCAGAAGATGCCATTTCCTGCACAGAAAATGCAGTTCTCAGCGCAGAAAATGTTTTTTTCTATACAAATCATTCTTGTGTGAATTTTATGCAGAATAAACCCTGAATTATAACACTGCCTGGAATTCATACATTAAAGTATTATCTACATGTAGAAGATGCCATTTCCTGCACAGAAAATTCAGTTCTGCACTGTTGCTCTCCCTTAATCTAATCTGCTTGTCAGGGCTACTGTGAAGATACAACTTTTTAGTGGAAAGCAGAATATATAGTTATCACAGCCTGGTCTTTGGGGATAATATCAAAGATCAGGTTGTGATAACCGGCTTTAGCACAGCAGGTTAATCACCAGCTGCAGATGCAGTAAATCTTGCCAATCAAAAGGGTGACAGTTCGAAGCTGGGTCAGGGTGAGTTTCTGACCTTCAGCCCAGCTCCCCCACTCACCACTCTGTGTGTAGATGAATAGGAATCGCATTGTGGGGAGGTATTTTAGGTACGGCATTTTGGAGGAAAGTCTGCGAACAAAGAAAGCTCTTCGGCAAAGAGACGGAGCAACAGCACCCCCCTATTGCCGGAACCAATCACAGCCTCCAAAAAGATGCCAAAGGATGAGAAAAAACCTAAATATACCTCTATCTGTTGTCTGTCTTGTCATTGTATAATTGACATTGAACATTTGCCGTACACGTATTCTGTGATCTACCCTGAGTCCCCTTTGAGGTGAGAAGGCAGAATATAAATACTGTAAAATAAAAAAATAAATAAAAAAATAATAAAATATCTCTGGAATATTTTTCTTGAACAAAAGCTATCTGCAACTACTGATTCGAGATGAGCCTTCTGTACAATGTCAGAAGCTATAATTTTATGTGAGAGTCAGTGTGATTTGAGTGCTAGAGTAGGGCTCTTATAAGATCAGGGCTCAATTATCCACTTAGCCATGGAAACCTACCGTGGACAAGTCACACTCTGTCAGCTTCAGTGCAAGGCAAAGGCCAACCCGTTCTGGCCAAACCATCACAAATATTGTGATGGTTTCGTCATAGGATTGCCATATGTCAGAAATAACTTTAAGGTGTGCAAAACGATGAGTTTAAAATGCAATCTATGTTCTTAAACTATATTGTAAAGTTTATTCCCAGAAAGTAGTATTGATCTATGCCATGCTGAGTGTGACTAACAGTGTTTAGCCCAAGTAAAGGTTAATATTTCACAAATTAGAACTTACATACGAGGTGCTGCTGCTTTGGAAGCATGGGAAGGGCATCCTGAATGAGAAAAAGGGGTTGGGGAGTTGCAGCTACGTTCTGCACTGTACTAGGTACATTATGTTGAGGTACTGTTTTGCTGAAGAGTCCCAGAACTAGCCTTTCAAAAAAAAAATGCAAGAACTGAAATGTTATAGGAGATGCTTTGCTGCAGTTCCCATTCTGCAACACTGCTGGGAATATGGGATCTTGCAACTGTACAGATACGGCAGCCAGCTGTCAGGCAGCCAGGATCAATCAGGGGAACCATTCATGGCCAGGACTTCCACCGTAGGCTCTGCTCACACAGTCTGTTGTGACCTTGCAGCGTAAGTTGAATTCGTAAAAGAGCCTTTCCTATGGATTACTATATGGCACCTTAATTGACTCCTTCCAGAACAGACAAGCCAAGATTACTCTTCAAAGGCTGCCTTTGGTTTCTAGCTTTCCATTTTTCCTTTAAGCTTGGAAAAGGTTAAAAGATAAAGGTTTTCCACTGACATTAATAATAATGATGATAACAACAACAACTTTATTCTTATACCCCGCCACCATCTCCCCAAGGGGACTCAGGGAGGCTTCCAAAAGTACAAGCCCAATTACAGATTAAAACAAAACACAATAAAATCAATCAAATACAACATAACACAGTTACAAGTCCAGTCGTGTCCGACTCTGGGCTGCCCTGAGTCCCTTTGGGGAGATGGTAGTGGGATATGAATAAAGTTTATTATTATTATTTATTATATCTCCATTTCTAAGCCGAAGAGCTGGCGTTGTCCGTAGACATCTCCAAGGTCATGTCGCCGGCATGACTGCGTGAAGAGCCGTTGTCTTCCCGCCAGATCTACTCACATTTGAATGTTTTCGAACTGCTAGGTTGGCAGAAGCTGAGGCTAACAGCAAGAGCTCACTCTGTTCCCCAATTCGAAACTGTGACCTTTTGGTCAGCAAGTTCAGCAGCTCAGCGGTTTTAACCCACTGTGCCACCGGGGCTCCTAAGCTTGGAAAAGCTGCCCCTTTTTGGATAGCAGCTTCTAGAATCCCTCAGCAAAGCATGGTCACCGGCTAGACAGTCACGTTGGCTATGGGACTGTGGGAGCTGCCATTCTGGGGACCAGGGAAGCTAATTTTGATCAAGATAGTTGTAAACAGTCTTGAGACAAATGTTTTTAATGTTTATGTATGCATATAATGAATTCATGTCCTGGCATTGAATGTTTGCCATATAAATGCTGTGCGCCGCCCTGAATCCCATTTGGGCTGAGAAGGGCAGAATATAAATGTTTTAAATAAATAAATAAATAAATAAATAAATAAAGTATTGTCGAAGGCTTTCATGGCCGGAATCACTGGGTTGTTGTAGGTTTTTCCAGGCTATATGGCCATGTTCAAGAGCCATTTTCTCCTGATGTTTCGCCTGCATCTACGGCAAGCATCCTCAGAGGTAGTGAGGTCACTACCTCTGAGGATGCTTGCCATAGATGCAGGCGAAACGTCAGGAGAAAATGGCTCTAGAACATGGCCATATAGCTTGGAAAAACCTACAACAACCCAATAATAATAATAATAATTTTTCCAAGCTTCGATTCAAAGACATCAAGCCAGCAATAACAATGCTTCAAAGGCCAGGGTCACTGTCCTAAATCGAACATTGTCACTTGATGGAAGGCATAGAGGAAGGAGAGAGAAAGGGGTTCCACACGCTCAAACCTGCTTAGCAGAGGCAAGCCCAAAGAGACTCGGCCACAGATAAAAGCATATAAAGAGTGGAAGTTTCTCTCTCTCATTCTTGGAATCTAAAGGGAAGATTATTATATTTTGGGGAGCTAAAGTTTGGATTTCTAGTTCTGAGAAAAATTAAAATGACGCTGTTTTCCTTGACTAGCAGCCCAGGAGTGAGAAGAAGGGCCTGAAATAACCCACGCCTGATGTGTTACTCACAAGGAGAGACTAGTCTACCGTACACCACTACCCTTCAACCAGGATGACGTGGTAGAAGGTAATTTGTTTTGATCGATGCCTCCCTTCTTATGTGGCTAACACCACCGCACTGTGTCTGGCGCATGGAGAGCTTGAAACTGATCCCATGACGTTGCTGGGGATTTAAGACGGTGGCTTTTTTGGAAACAGCTGCAGAAGCAGCAATCCCTGATGATCTGAATCTGTACTCACCCAGAGTGGCAAGCGCGGAGCCAGACTTGAAGAGGGCTGAAGCGAGCAGCTGAAACTAGGAGGAAGAGGGGAAAAAACAAGAGAGGAGTTTTTTGAGAGAGAGAAAAAGTCTCAGTGTTCCTGGAAGAAAATAAAAGCTTCCCAATCAACAACAATGAAGCTGTTTGTTGTGTGGAGAGAGCAGGGAGGTGGCCATCCAAGATCTAATATGGCCAAACTGAGGATTCGCATTCTGTTGGAAAGGAATCCGCTCCCTTCTGGTTTTACATCAGGCCTTTCCCAACCGAATTCATTTATTAAGTTATCACCTTGGCAATTCACAAAAGCCAAAGAGCCCTTAGCCAAAACCACTGCACCCTGTGAAATATCCTGGGTCCAAAGTCTCACAACTGGATAGAAATACAGCAGCTGGTAGCATGGAACTATTTCTTCAACTAACAAAAAGCAAGAAAGGATCATTCACTTTGGCATAAATTGAGAATCTGGCTCTCTGTAGAGTCTGGAATGAGTTGCTACACAAAACTTTTGGTGGCTGTCAGGCTTTCCTGATCCTCTGAGGAAGTCAGGGTATGATTTTTTATATATATATATTTTGGTGTCAGGAGCAACTTGAGAAATTGCAAGTCGCTTCTGGTGTGAAAGAATTGGCCATCTACAAGTACATTGCCCAGGGGATGCTCAGATGTTTTACCATCCTGTCAAAGGCTTCTCTCACGTCCCTGCATGATAAGCTGGAGCTGACAGACAGGAGCTCACCCCGCTCCCCAGATTCGAACTGCTGACCTTTTAGTCTGCAGTCTTGCCAGCACAAGGATTTAACCCAATTTTATTTTTATCTACACTTTGTGCCAGCAGGACTGCTGACCAAAAGGCAAGTGGTTCTAATCCGAAGAACAGGGTGAGCTTCTGACAGTCAGCTCCAGCTTCTCATGTGAGGACATGAGAGAAGCCTCCCACAGAATGGTAAAACATCCAGATGTCCCCTGGGCAATGTCCTTGCAGATGGCCAATTCTCTCACACCAGAAGCACCTTGCAGTTTCTCAAGTCTCGCCTGACACAAAAAAAAGTCAGGACAGGATGGCATGGCATAAGGGAATCTTCCTTGCCAGCCAGGTCTTTCAAGATCAAAGTCAGAAAGGATTTCACAGGGTTAAAAAAAACCTTACTTCTGCTTCAACTACAGACAGTGGTTCTCAACCTGGGGTCCCCAGATGTTTTGGGCCTTCAACTCCCAGAAATCCTAACAGCTGGGATTTCTGGGAGTTGTAGGCCAAAAACATCTGAGGACCCCAGGTTGAGAACCACTGCATTATGGAAATCAATGACAGAAGGGGTGGTGATGGTCACACACAGAGCTTTTTCAAAGAAGTTGGTTGAATAAACTCAGGAAGGATAGGACTAATTAAGAACAGGTAATCCAACCCCACTGCTTCAAGTCAGCCTGCATAATATTAGGACTCAGCAACTATTATAGATGGCTCTCTGGATTCTGCTTGAAAATATCTCATAAGGTGAATCACTTCACTCCCAAGGAAGCATGCTCCATTGGTGAACACCTCTCACTTTTAGGAAGTTACTAGTAAGATTTCCTTCCCTGAAATTTCTACCGTTTTCAGGAATCTGAAGAACACTACTTTGTCGGTTCTTAATCTCCTTTTGACCAAACCAAACATTACCAGATTTTTTTTCAACCATTCATTATTCAATTTTGTCTCCAAACTTCTTGACATCATCATACGCTTCCCTGGATTTCTCTTTTAAGTTATTTATGTTTTTCTTAAAAAAGGATGCTCAAAATAGCCAAGAAATCTGAATGTCGCTTGAGTAACAAATAACAGAATGCACCTTCTACCTCTTGTAACCTGCCACTATGCTTCCATTAATGAAACCAAATGTCTAATTAATATTTTTTAGCTACAGCGTATTAATGTTGATTCACATTCACTTAGGAACTATTAGGACATGTAAGTTCTTTCCACAAGTAATTCCACCAAGCCAGTTCTCCCATATATTCATATCTTTCAGCCTGGCAGAGAGACAAATAAATAGGCTTTACTTCTGCTGAATCTCCTTCTTATTTTGGGTAAAGTTCCACCGAGACTGCCTGGATCTTGATTCTGTCCTTTTTTGTATTCAATGATCATCTCAATTTTGTTTCTTTTCCAATTTAATAAAACTCCTAAGGCTGCATTCAGGCAATTTTAAGAAATACAGAACAACACAAGGCCTAGAATAGAACACTGCAGCACTCCACTCAAGGGCTCATTCCGAATACTGAGCTATTAATTAACAACTGATGAGTAGGAGCACTCAACCAGCTGCAGACCCACTCAATGGTAGGTTGATGTAACCAAGACCAATGAACTTGACTGACCTCTGCTTCGGTTATTACAGAACAGCCTTACTTTAACACAATTCTCAGGTGTAGTCACTGCTAAACATGAAAATCCCACACTTGGCATTAACAGAAACAGAATACCATATTGAGGAGGTCATTCCAATAAAGAGTCAACTTCGGCCTCATTCCCAAGCTTTCACTTAAGCTACATGAAGTTCACCACGTATCTGGTCATAAGCTGTTCTGTCCAGTACATGCTGTTTGTTTCCCTTGGCATCCAGCACCCAAACAGTCAGAGCGGTTTTCATGCACTCTTGTAAGATAATTTTATTTTTATCTATCTGTATATCTCTCCCTCTATTTACAAGCATTAATTGCCAATCAAGTTTTTCATTTGCAATGCAAGCCATTCAAAGGAAAGGCAAGCAGCTGCCAGTGAAATTACTATCGTTTATTTGTACAGTGCCATCAGCTTACATTGCGCTCTATAAGAACAGTTTACAATTGTTGATCCGACAGTTTCCCTGCCTCCAGGCCTACTATCTAAAAAGGCATGAAGCAGAAAGAAAAAGGGAGAGCAGTCAAGGAGGGAATTAAGTCCAGGCGATGCTGGCTGCTCTTCTCTTCCTCCAAGGGCTGGGCAGTGGCAGGAGGGATGGAGGTAGGCCTAGGCATGATGGAGCTGTGCCTGCCTGTTCTCCTTCTCTCTCTGAGGTCGAGAGAGGGCTGGAGAGTGGCAGCTGGAATTAAAGAACCTTTCATCTGCTTCTGGAACTAGGTGTGATGAAGTTTTGCTTTCCTGCTCCTCTTTCCTTCTAGAGCTTACCTGTCCGAACGTATCTCCCTCTACGTTCCACCTTGAAATTTAAGATCTTCTGGGGAGGCCTTGTTCTCGGCCCTGCCTTTGGTGCAAACACGCTTGGCGGGGACGAGGGACAGAGCCTTCTCAGTGGTGGCCCCCCACCTGTGGAACTTGTTGTAGCTCAGTATGAGCCTGAGCCTGAGACTGAACTGTCTGGGCCTTATGCTGGGCCTTCTGAGTCTGACTTTCTGCTGGATGACGATGAGGCTGATGGGTTACAGATTTCTGAACGTGTTCCAGTTAGTGAGGCGGACGGGGTTGATAGTCTGTTCCCCAGAGAAAGGAATGTGCCTTTAGATAAAGATAGTGAAACTCCAACTGCAGGTGGAGACTCCTTTTGGTTCCCAGGGTGATCAGGCCCAGCTGGGCCAAGATAATGAGTTGTCCAGCCTTGAAGATAATAATGAATTAATGAGTAGACAGGATTCTTTACAATTAAGAGTTCACAGAAGCACACGCCTTGCCAGCAAACATGAAGCCAAAGGTCAARGCAATGCTTTCATGRCAGGGAAACTTATTTAATAATGTAGCTGACAYGCATRTTCTGTCAGTCCAATGTTGCTCTTTCCRTGTTAACTTCTGTGGAATTACCTTGGCTTTTGTGAAACGCTTCTGGKTTCTTTGGGACTTGGATTTTGATCCTGATTTTATCTGTCTACCATGGACTCTTGTTTGACCATTGRTAAGGGATTARGCTTCATGTTATTTGCCTTTGGCTCTTGGGAACTTTGCCTTTGCATTTAAGARTCTGTTTTGCCTARTGAACTTTTGCATCTTTWTTTTCTCTYTTTTYATTTTGCTTCTTCTCAATAAACTACAAAACCMACAGCCTTGGTGTGTGGTGGTYTCTTGAGCAAGGTGAAAACTWCCCTGAGTTGCGAKAGAACTTGCTCCCCAGCGAAATCAGGTCAACAACATCCCTCCTCGCCTTCAGGAGGAAATTGAAAARYRGGTTATGGGACCWTTGGGTAGRTGGCAGATAARTGACAAAGGTAATAAMCATATAATAATGTTATGGAAAATGGACTATGGARAGGCTTCCGATTGTGTTGRGCTCYCTGAATTTGTTTCTARATAAGGRTAGACAGCGAYTACTATTGCACTTTTCATTAATGCACTTTTTATTTTAAAACTAATTTTGAAATCAATTTACTGTGTTTTTATATATACTACAGTATGTATTATTTATATGTAATGGCACTGAATTGTGCCAGATGTAAGCCGCCTTGAGCTCCTCCCTGGGAGTTGAGAAGGGTTGGGTACAAATGTTTGAAATAAAAAACTAAAATAATAAATAGAGGCCATGATAGTATTGATAACTATTATTCCAGGCCATTGGTTGCTGCTCAATGGTTGTTTTTATATTGTGCTATGAATCCGTTTGTTTTATATTGTTTATGATGCTGTTTTACAAATTTTAATGAGTTATATTTCAACTATGTTGATCAGGCTTGTCCCCATGTAAGCTGCCACAAGTCCCTTCAGGGAGATAGAGGTGGGATACAAAAATAAAGATATTATTATATTATTATAGATGCAAAGATGATGGAGGAAGGACCTTTCTGCCTCTCCCTCTGAGTCCACTTTCCATTGAGGAAACTGAAGAAAATTCCTCTGATGTCCAGTGAACCTTCAAGCAGACAACTTTTCCTACACCATAAAACTTTGGGGTGCAGGTGGGAGGATTGTGAAGATCCCTTACCTTGCCAGCCGGGGTGGCAGGGCCTAGGAGAGGCAGGCTAGTTAGTTAAGCCTTAGAAAGGCCTGGCAGAGGGCAGCAGGAGCCATTTTAGTTTAGGGAAAGCTCCAGTTCAGAGAGGGGGAGTGGCCTAGGCCTGAGCCAGCCCTGAAACAGCCAGGATTGGTTTGTTAAAGGGGGGCGGAGTTAGACTGTTGGAGGGAAAGAAAGAAGCTTATTTAGTCAGTTCAGTTCAGTTCTGGTTGATGTTAGAGTTAGAGCAGGATTAGAGAAGCTTTCAGGAGTTCGTGATTAGAATAGGCAGTTTGCCTGAAGTTTGCACAGCGAAGTAGGCTGTGGCAAACTGGCTACAGCTATTTAGGGAAGAAATAGCTGGGTTTTGTAATAGTAACGGTAATAAAGAAAGAACCACTCTCTCATGCAACCGTTACGCTTTTAAGAACAAGAACACTTTAATTGTAACAGCCAAGCTTATGAAACTGCATTCTCTTCATTCTGTAACTTTTACTTCAATAAACTTTCCTTGTTATTTTTGAAACTTAAGCCTGAGTCAAGTGCCATTTGTGGATTTAGTCCCTTTTCTTTTTAATTCAACATCACCTGTTTCCCTTCAGAGAAACCCTTCTAAAAGACACAGTACTTGGTGGTCTAAAAAGCCTTTTCTTAGTTTAACCAGCTAGAGGGTTCCTGTTCATTTGATTTATGGTGGCAGCGAAGGTTTAAATAAAGAGACATCCCCTCAAGTGCTATATTAGTGGTGCTATTATAAAGGAATTCTTTATATTGGAGGGACAGTTGGTGGGATCTGTTTGCCCCCTGTCCAGTTATATTGTTTAGCCATAAAGGAGTCTTTATAATTCGTGTCAGATGGTGTGATTGATCGTATTGCCATCTGCCCAGTTATTATAATTGGTGGGGCAGCGGTGGGATACTTGGACCCCCTGCCCAGACGGCCATTAAGGAGTTATTATACTGTGACAAACAAGTCATTCTGCAGGTACTTCAGGGCATTCAGCGGGTCTGTTTGAGCCTTCTCTTCAAACCTGTAAAAATGCACAAAATAAGGATTTAGTGTACAACAGATCTCAGCCATTAAAATAAAATTATTTTTAAGAGCCATCTGTAAAATGGAACAAAGCAAACTCTTCAAGATAAACAATTTAGTGGTTATATTATTAACTTAATATTAATAAGCAGTAGTTATTATATATCTATCTAATTTTATAACACTTTTGTTGTTGTTTATTTGTTCAGTCGCTTCCAACTCTTTGTGACCTCCTGGACCAGGCAACGCCAGAGCACTGTCACCACCCTCAGCTCCTTCAAGGTCAAGCCAGTCACTTCAAGGATAACATCCATCCATCTTGCCCTTGGTCGGCCCCTCTTCCCTTTTCCTTCCATTTTCCCCAGCATAATTGTCTTCTCTAAGCTTTCCTGTCTTCTCATGATGTGGCCAAAGTACTTCACCTTGACCTCTAATATCCTTCCCTCTAGTGAACAGCCAGGAATTATTTCCTGGAGTATGGATTGGTTTGATCTTCTTGCAGTCTCAGAATTTTCCTCTAGCACAGTGGTTCTCAACCTGGGGTCCCCAGATGTTTTTAGCCTTCAACTCCCAGAAATCCTAACAGCTGGTAAACTGGCTGGGATTTCTGGGAGTTGTAGGCCAAAAACATCTGGGGACCCCAGGTTGGGAACCACTGCTCTAGCACCACAGTTCCAAAGCGTTTATCTTCCTTTGCTCAGCCTTTCTTATGGTCCAGCTCTAGCATCCATAGGTTAATACAGGGAATATCGTTGCTTTAACTTTGCAGAACTTGGTTGCAAGGGTGATGTCTCTACTCTTCATTATTTTATAGAGATTGGCCATTGCTCTCCTCCCAAGAAGTAAATGTCTTCTGATTTCCTACTTTATCAAATTCAGTTTTCCTTTCCCCTAGATAATCCACCTCCCAACTGAGTTCCAAGAACCCCAAAGAAAGCTTCACTTAGAGAGGGTTTGCTATGATTTGGGGAGGGGTCTGCACTGGACCTCCATGGGATCTTGGAAGGCTGCAGACCCCTAGTCATGAAACCTCCACCTCCGAAGCTGCACTTTATTTTTGCTCAAAATAATATCCGGGGGGAGGGGGGACAGCTTCACCACATTCTTGCTCCAAACATGCTCCACCACCATTTTTGAAATAGGAAGTCAACTGGAGGTAAACATCCTATTCAACTTCTTTTTAATGTCTCTCCTTGACGTAAAGTAAGTGTGATGGTACAGGGTGCCAATTTTAACCAGAAATATCTTGAAACATTTATAGGTGTCTGGGGTTCTCTGGAGGCCTCAAGAATGACTCTGTGAGTTGCATACAACTAATGGGTCATTCTTTCCACATCCTTGACCCAGTGTCAACATCTTGAAGCAGTTTCTCTCCAAAGAAACACAATGTGCTTGATCAGAACGCTTTGCTCTGTAAATGTTTCCCTTGAGATATAAACCCACAGAACTATGATGGAACTTCTTTTTCCCCCACAAGAGGCAAAAGAAATACCAGTCTACTTTCTTTATGCTGCTGCTGTTGTTGTCGTGTGCCTTCAAGTCATTTCCAATCTATGGTGACCCTAAGGCGGCCCTATCACAGGGTTTTCTTGGCAGGATTTGCTCAGGAGAGGTTAGTTCCCACCTTCTTGCTGGGCAACTGTAAGCCTGCCCTGTTGCTGGCATTTTCTTTTTATAAAGCAGATTATTATCAGCTATGAAACACTACTTGGCACTGACCAAATGACTGCCATTTCACAGAGTGCTCTTAGGCTGACTGCTGAGGTAGGCGGGACAGCCACAGAAAGCTCAAAAGTTTGACTGGAAAAACACTGGCTTGCCCACTTTAAAAGGGGGCTTTTAACAAGGTCCCACCCAGCCAAAGCCTAAGGCTGTTCTCTCTCTGCGCCACAGGAAAAAGAGAGGTAAGAGACTTGGGGAATAGGAAGTAAAGGGATTAGGCCAGAGCAAAGACCTAGACACAGAAGGAACTAGAGCTGACCCCACACTCTCACTGGGGTCAGAGGAGTAGGACCTCTGCCAAAGTGGGAAAAATGTGAATATCTCTAGGCCCCACAAAACATATTTAAGACAAAAAGTGACATATACAGGAATCTGTAAATAACACTATATAACACGATTTTTGTTCCTGGGTTATAAATGTCATGTCCTAATGGTTTTATCATAAAAATATAGAAAAAGTGTAGGGAACTACAAAAACTTTATTTTTGTAGGACATCCTGCAGCACATTTTACTATAGTTTTTTCAATGAATATCTCAACCAATTCAAAATTAATTTCTGGCAGCCACAAATACAAAGTTTCTGGAGTATAGCAGCTACTTTCAAAGTAAGTACCACACAATTAAACGGGAATAACACTTTCAAACCATAAAAACTTTTTTAAAAGGTTTTGTTACTTAGTGTAATCAAATCTGTGAAAGTTCAACCCACAAATGTAGAGGGTCAACTGTTCAATGTTTTTTGTGCAAAGCACAGGCAAGTGATGGAGAAGTCTGATATTTCACAGAATTAATAATAATAATAATAATAATAATAATAATAATAATAAGGTGACAGCCGAATTGAGGAAAAACATCAGGAAAAACTCAGCCGTTATCAAGACCTCAAAATAGAACTGCAAAGGCTCTGGCATAAACCAGTACAGGTGCTCCCAGTGGTAATTGGCACACTGGGTGCCATGCCAAAAGACCTCAGCCGGCATTTGGAAACAATAATTATTTATTTATTTATTTATTTGCTTTACTTCTATACGCCTTTCTCAGCCGAAATGGCACTCAAGGCGGTCCTGTGTCTTTGGTTGCGGGGGGGGGGTGATGTGACCACACCTGCAGCACATTTTACTATAGTTTTTTCAATGAATATCTCAACCAATTCAAAATTAGTTTCTGGCAGCCACAAATACAAAGTTTCTGGAGTATAGCAGCTACTTTCAAAGTAAGTACCACACAATTAATCAGGAATAACACTTTCAAAGCAATAACAACTTTTTTTTTCAAATTTTGTTACCTAGTGTAATCAAATCTGTGAAAGTTGAACCCACAAATGTAGAGGGCCAACTGTTCAATGCTTTTTGTGCAAAGCACAGTGATGAAGAAGTCTGGTATTTCATAGAAATAATAATAATAATAATAATAATAATAATAATAATAATAATAACAACAACAACAACAACAACAACAATAACAACAACAGCATTGAGAAAAAACAACAGGAAAAACTCAGCCACTATCAAGACCTCAAAATCGAACTGCAAAGGCTCTGGCATAAACCAGTACAGGTGGTCCCAGTGGTCATTGGCGCACACTGGGTGCCGTGCCAAAAGATCTCAGCCGGCATTTGGAAACAATAAACATTGACAAAATCACGATTTGTCAACTGCAAAAGGCCACCTGACTTGGATCTGCACGCATCATTTTAGGTAATTATAGGTAGGAGTCCACTTCTGTCTTCTCCTGGAGGTCCTCACCTGTGCTTCCTTATTAGGTATTTGCAATGACGAAGTAGGTATTCCTTGGACGGACGGCAGAGCTTCAAGGACCAGAAGTCATCCAGCCGCATCTTTGGAGAACAGGATTTGCCTGGATTCCCTCCAAACAAATAATGAACCTTGAAAGTGAAGAACGAAGATTTCTGATTAGCTCAACCAGGACTGTGAGACAAGGCACCCAAGGCTCCCTCCCAGGCATTACTCCAAGAGAAACCACCTGTCCTATGAACTGCCTCTTGTGGTGGATGCTCACCTGTTTGGACAGATCAGAAAGCCAATTATGAGTAGGTTCCACTTATTTAAAATATGGAAAGGGACTGTAAGCAAAGTTTCTGCACAGCTGAGCTACTTCCTAAAAATCTTTTTACAGTGCTCAGATCTTCCTATCCTCTAACTTTTTAAAAAGGCATCAGCATTTGGAATATGATGAAGAAGGGTGCAGAAACCTGTCCCTATTCTTTCTGTAATATTTGTGGCTCTGGTGCCAAATTTTCTGTTAAAGTATTAAAGCCCCAAAATAGGTCAATTTCATTAATTGAAATATATCTATAACAATAACCCTGCATTTCCCTACATCACATAAAGAATGACAAAGGATACTGCTGTTCCTGGAAAGGATGTACAGATGCAGACATAAATGAGCACAAGAGCGTAAGTAAAAACATACAACTGTTTCATGTCATCCAAACAAGCAATTATAGTCTATTCAGGCTCTGAATGTGCTCTCTTTTAAAACATCCAACAGGAGATAGTCAACCTCTGCTATATTACGTAGTTTTAACTAAATACTCAACTATCAGTGCTGAAAAAGAAACTCTGTAAAGTCTGTAGGATTCATCTTCATCACAGAATCAGAGAACTGGAAGAGATTCCAAGGGCCACTCAGGCCAACCCTAATCTGCAATGCAGGAATACACCATCAAAACACTCCTGACAGAGGCCCATCCAGTCTCTGCTTAAACAGCCGAGTATGAAACGATACCACACTCTCAGGCAACATATTCTACAGTTGAACAGCTCTTACTAACATGAAGTTTCAATGTAATTCCTTTTCCTGCAATTTGAACCCATTGCTCCATGACTTAGTTTCCACAGCAGCAAAAAACAAGCTTGCTCCATCCGCAAAATCCTTTCAAATATTCAAACATGGTTATCATGTCTTCCTCTCAGCCTTCTTTTCTCCAAGTAAAATACTCCTAACATCCCGCGATTCTCCAAAAAATTGGGACTCAAGGCAGCTTACAATGTGGCAGCTTTGTCCACCTAGAGACAACCCAAACATCAGGAGGGAAGCCAGATTGTCCCACAAAAGGGGAAGATCTTTGCTTCTTTAAACTATGCAATGGCACAATGTTCTTTGCACTGGAGCTTTGGATCACTACCAGTGTGGCATATGATGGAAGAAAGACGTGATGCCAGGAATACCCTGGCCACGGCAAGTGTTGTTTTTCTCCTCCTGTTACATTTAACAAAACTACAGAGCACCCTGTCCCCAGATCTCACCTTGTGCAACTCATCGTATACAAGCTGGTGTGCAAAGCGTGGGCAGGGCTCTTCCTCTTGAAGGCTTTTGCTTGGATTCTCTTTGGCTGCTTGATCATTCTTATAGACACAAGACCTGAAATGGAAGATATACTGAAGCATTTCATGCCACCTGAAAGAATTACTAGCACAGTGCATTTTCAGAAAGAAGGCCAGCGTGGAAAAGCATAAATCATCACTACCACATGTATTCAGATGGCCTGAACACCAAAAAAAGGCTGCATGGATCTGGGGTTGTCCTAAACAATACACTAATTGCATTTCAACCAAAAGATAAATGGGAATGGGAGGAGGAAGTCCTGAGTGGTCCATGGGTTCCACTTGACTTCTTTAACTGGAACATAAGATCCAAAAGCTGGAGTTTGCCAAAAACAACCACATATACCAGTACTTGGAACTTTAAAATCCCCAAGTCATGGAATTTCTTTTGAGTGATAATATTTAAGAATATGCAAGGTCCTTCCATACAAGGAAATCCATGCAAAGTTATCCTAAGATGTCTTCAGTTCAGCAGTATAACACAGGAGAACGTGTGTGTGTGTGTCTTTCTCTTTGGGGAGAAAACCTAGGAGTCATAAATCCTTGCTGATGTACTGCAGCTCACCCAGACAGCAACAAACAGATATAGAACCGTGTTTGCCAACGCTGACTGACCCTTTGACTTTCTTCAGCAACACAAGAATGCCAGAAACATCTTCTCCTCTCAAAAACGCTGAGATTCTCAGCATACCTGACATGATGCCAGACTCCACATAAAGCCAATACACAAAGTCCTAGTCCTGCAGGGGAAAGAATCTAGGAAGTACATTCCAAGTCTCATTTTTTCCACTTATTTTATTACTTTTATATGCCACCTACTGAGCAAAAACCTCAGGGCAGCATGCAAAAGATTGATGGCTAACAAATAAAAACATGTCGAAATGTAGCTTTAAAACAAGCAGTCAAACAAATACAATAAAACTAACAGTAGAATCAAACATTTCAGAGGGCTGAAATCCCAAGAGTTGAAAGGTCTGGCAACAAAGAAGGGCCTTGCCTGGTTTCATGGAACTTAAGTGCTAGAGCACTTCTCCTTGGAAGATACTTCTGAGACACTCCCATGGAAGACTGGGATTAGGTTCCTATTAGGCCTGTGCGGTTTCGTTCGTTAATTCGTTAATTCGTTATTAATTCGTTATTTTTGGCATTTCCGAAGCGATATTGAAACATATTTCCAAACCCGGAAGGGTTTTAAATATCGAACCAGCAACCCCCATAGTTTTAACGAGCCTCCGCTCGTTTCGTTAATGGGGTGGAGGCTGCTGGAGTGCTGGTGCCTGGGAGCCAATCCGGCGCTCCCAAGCAGTGCACCGTGGGTCCGTGGCTGTTTGTTTTTGATTGGCCGGCGAGCCCTTTCAAAGCGGCTCCGCGCGGCCGTAGCTTGCTGCAGAGGGCGAGGGAGTTTGCATTGGGTTGGCTTGGCTGCTAGCAACTGGATTGGATTCATTCCTTGCTGCTGTGAGTGCTGCTTGCTTCATTTGCTGTCTCTTGCCTGTGTTTGGTCCACATTTGGGCCATTTTTTGGTTAATTTTCCATTTTAAAATATTTTTAATATTATTTTTTAATATTATTTTTAATATTTTAATATTATTTTTTACTATTATTCTTAAAAAATATTCTAAAAAAGAAAAGACTCTTCTGTTGGTGTGTGCTCTCATTTGCTGTATCCTGCCTGTGTTTGGTCCACATTTGGGCCATTTTTTGGTTAATTTTCCATTTTAAAATATTTTTAATATTATTTTTTAATATTATTTTTTAATATTATTTTAATATTATTCTTTAAAAAATTATTCTAAAAAAGAAAAGACTCTTCTGTTGGTGTGTGCTCTCATTTGCTGTCTCCTGCCTGTGTTTGGTCCACATTTGGGCCATTTTTTGGTTAATTTTCCATTTTAAAATATTTTTAATATTATTTTAATATTATTTTTAATATTATTTTAATATTATTCTTAAAAAATATTCTAAAAAAGAAAAGACTCTTCTGTTGGTGTGTGCTCTCATTTGCTGTATCCTGCCTGTGTTTGGTCCACATTTGGGCCATTTTTTGGTTAATTTTCCATTTTAAAATATTTTTTAATATTATTTTAATATTATTTTAATATTATTTTAATATTATTCTTAAAAAATATTCTAAAAAAGAAAAGACTCTTCTGTTGGTGTGTGCTCTCATTTGCTGTCTCCTGCCTGTGTTTGGTCCACATTTGGGCCAATTTTTTGGTTAATTTTCCATTTTAAAATATTTTTTAATATTATTTTAATATTATTCTTAAGAAATACAAATATTCTAAAAATTCGTTAATATTTACAAAATTTCTTAAATACCAAAACTTTTTTGGGGGAAAGTTTTGTAATTATTTTAAATATCGAAACAAAAAAACACCCCAATTACAAATCGATTTTAGAAACAAATTTTTTCTTGATCAAACAGGCCTACCAGATAGATATATTTCAGACTAACTTGGACACCCAACATTGCCTGGATTATTTGAAAAAGTCATTTCTTTAACTGTATAAAATGCATAAGGTTGTGGGTGAACTACAACTCACATAATGCCAGGTTAACCCCTTGAAATTCCATCAGTAGTTAAGGTTATCATGTTGAGTAATTTTCCTCTAGATGCATCATTGGTGGGTTCAGTGTGCTCTCTGGCTGCAGGATAAACTACAGCTTCCACCATGGTGAGTCAGTCCCCTTGAATCCTTCCAGTAGGTTCTGCTGGTCATGGGAGTTCTGTGTGCCAAGTGTGGTCCACATTTGTCATCGGTGGTGGTCACAGTGCCCTCTGAATGTAGGTGAACTATAATTCCTATAAATCAAGGCAAATTCTCCCCAAACCCCTCCAGTATTTTCAGTTGATCATGGTGGTTCTGTGTGCCAAGTTAGGTCCAGGGCCATCATTGCTCTTTGATTGCAGGTGAACTATAAATCCCAGTACCTACAACGGCTATAAATCCAGGTGAATTCTCCCTAACCCTCTCCAGTATTTTTCTTTAGTCATGGTGGTTCTGTGTGCCAAATGTGATCCAGGTCCATTGTCAGTGGGGGTCACAGTGCTCTGATTTGATGCAGGGTGAACTACAACTTCCATCACGTGGAGCCAATTCCTCAAAATCCTCCAGTATGTTTAGTTGCTGATTAGTCCTGCTCTGTTTGTTGTGCAGAGTTGAAAAGAGTAGGAAAAGGTTAAGGGAGAGGCAGTGGGAGGGATCATGCAAATTCCACACCAATTTAGAGTAAGAAACACTGGGATGTCTGTGGTGGAGAAAACAATTTCTAGGAGACAATTTTGGGAACAATTTCTAGGATGAAATTGTCTCAGAATGAAAGCATTCCTTGGGTGCTGGGCAGTATGGTGTTTGGGGAGGACATTGACAGGGGTTGAGCTACATGTTCATGGCACTCACTCTAATCTGAAATGTCACTGGAGGGAGGTCTTTTGGTGGCTCCTCAGCATGTGGGTTAAAGCTGTTTGGGGAAGTGGGAGCCTGTCTGTGTAAGTGGACATCCCAGCCACATACACACATAAATATTTTCACTTTTATTCTGTGTATAGATAGATGTATAGATATATCGTTATCTGGGTCCTATGTCAGTAGAAAAGCAGGTTATGAATAAGTAAGAAAACATAAAATATTTAGGTGACTGTAATAACTGTAACATTGTACACAAAGACCAAGGGCATACAGGCCACAAGTGAACCACCATCAGACTGCACAGTCTACCCACATGTCTCTTGAGTATCCTCAAAGGCTGAAGCATGCATGCAATATCATTAGAGACAGGTAATGGGGGCAGACATGGTGGCTATGACCACTCAAGACCCCTATCCCCCATATTTGATAGTTATCTGTACTGCAATAATGATAATAGTTTTATCCTGTCAGACACAGTCTTGATAATACAGTGGCTCTCCACATTTGCTGGGGTTATGGACATAGGACTGCCATAAAAGTGGAAAACAACACATAAATAATTATAGTTTTTTTAACCTGAGAGAACACATGTCTAGGAATGTCTAGGTCTTCCAGCATCTAGTCAACAGCTGCTACAAAAGTGGATGGCCTTGAGATTCCTAGAGCTATTCCCTCTGGATTCCTGAAGCTTTTCCTCTATAAATCCTCCAACATGAATAGAGAAAGCTGACCAGAGTCATACTGCAGGACCTACATACTTCTAGAGAGATCCTTTTAAACCAAATCCATGAATAATAATGTCTACAGGAGTTAAAACTGTACCCCCTAGAGATCAACTAATCATGGTAAGTAAAGCCTCACCAGAAAGGTTACCTCCTACCACTACCACCACCTCTACAGAGCAGTTATGGAAGCGTTGTCCACATTTCCCTTCTGTATCTTCTAGCATGTTTGTGTGAACAGAAGATGACAAAACATCACTCTGGGGTGACCCTATTTCTAATGACCCTGTATAATCCACACATCTAAATTATTGCACCTAATTTTTGACTGGTTGAATTGCTTTCATCTGCAGCTATATGGCTCTGAGTAATGCTTTAGTAACAGATACAACAAAGTGCTATTTTTTCTGGGTGACTCAGATCCAGTACAGTTAAACCGTATTGACAGATTGTTTGGGAGTTGGAAAGGAAGTGAACAGAGACTCACAGCCAGCTTTACCTCGACATGGTTAGAGAGAAACACAAGTTTGCACAATACAGGTATATATACTTTTACCCTTTTACCTGTCAAAACCCACAATGCTGGCACACACTGTCCCTCCCCTGAGGAAAGTCTTCTGCCAACTTACCAGCTGTTCCGCACAATGTCATAAATCCAGAAGGAATTCCGAACATTCTCTTCCCTCTTCTCCTTGTCTTTACTAAGTCCAGACAACACATGGATTTCGTTCAGTTCTGGATCAATGGTAGCTCTTTGGGTAAACCCTGTCATTGGAACTGGGGGGGAAGCAAAGTACATACTTTGTAAACAAATCTATTTGAACAGCAAAGCAGCTAACCACTAGATGGCAGAAATATCTCAAGTCTTAAAGGAAATTTCCCAAGCCAGTGTCTTCAGAAGGTGTTAGATCCCCTAGATCCCCAGATTAAAAGGTCAACTGCTGTAATGTACTTAGTATACGAACTGCATGAAAATTTCCAATTTTACCCAGACCCCTGCAGCATCTTCTCCACACAATCTTCTACAACAAAGCCAAGTTAATCACTGGCAACGTTTCCTCCTATTTGCTTAAACCACCAGCAATGTCTCTGCCCCTTTTATGACCAACGGCTGGAAAAAGGCAGGACAAAATGTCCTCATAAGCTCCTTGGCAAAGAAACCATTCTGAATTCAGCATGCGCTTGTTCTCTCCGGAGAATTCCCTTAGTATTTTTAATTCATTATATTTTGACTCCAAACAGCTGAGGGAACTGCACATGGCTCATTGCCCTCCTGTTTTATCCCTATAACCAACCTGTGAAAGAGCTTAGATAGTCACACAATGGGTTTAGGGCAATAACTGTCCATCACACTAAAACAATTGCACTGTACTGGCTCTCAAACAAATTTACCTGAGGTCAAGGAAGTCTAGATATGATTGTGCCTGGTCTATATATGTGTGTTGGTGTAGTGTATGGACCCAGAGGTGCTCACATATGCATTTTCTATTGCCAGTTATTACAAATACTCATTGTTAGTGGGTTGTTGTAGGTTTTTTTGGGCTATATGGCCATGTTCTAGAGGCATTTTCTCCCGACATTTCGCCTGCATCTATAGCAAGCATTCTCAGAGGTAGTGAGGTCTGTTGGAACTAGGAAAATGGGTTTATATATCTGTGGAATGTTGGTGCCTAGGGCAATCTTTAGTTGAGAGGTGATTAGATGTCCCTGATTATTTCCTCTCTGTTGTTTTGCTGTTGTAATTTTATAGTTTTTTAAGACTGCCATTGCAGGGCACCTGATGAACCAACCTGGACACAGCATATTATTTGAGAACACAGAAATACTGGAACACTCAAACAACCACCATGTCAGACTACACAGAGAAGCCACTGAATCCACAAACATGTGGACAATTTCAACAGAAAGGGAGAAACCACGAAAATGAACAAAATCTAGCTACCAGTATTAAAAAACTCTAAAATTACAACAGCAAAACAACAGAGAGGAAACAAACAGGGACATCTAATCACCTCTCAACCAAAGATTGCCCCAAGCACCAACAAGCCACACCAAACAACTGCCAGGCCATCAAATGCTAATCAAGGTGTCAGTTGAAACATTCACACCTAGCTCCAACAGACAATTGTTCTTTCTCCCACCCTGGTCATTCCACAGATATATAAACCCATTTTCCTACTTCCAACAGACCTCACTACCTCTGAGGATGCTTGCCATAGATGCAGGCGAAACGTCAGGAGAGAATGCCTCTATAATATGGCCATATTGCCAGAAAAAACCTACAACAACCCAGTGATTCCGGCCATGAAAGCCTTCGGCAATACTCATTGTTAGCTTTACAATTTTCTGAATGGTCCCATTAGAAAACGTGTATCTGGGCAACAATGGGTTAATAAGCTAGTGTTTTATCAAAGTTTCATCACTCAGCTTCCCACCACAGATTAACCCATCTTAATTCCTTTCTCCATGCATAAAAAGCACACTGCTATGAACATAGGGTTCTGGTAATAGCTGAATACCAATTTTGTCATCTTAAGGACTCCTTTCTCCCTTCTCCAGATCACTTCCATCTTTGTCTGGAGCTTCTGAGAAGGCATCCTTTGGAATGTCTCCATAACAATGTTCTGGCCCTCTGAGAGAAACTCCTAGAGTATCTTTTTGTTGACTCCCTATGAGGTTGCCTTTCTATCTACATACTGCTCTCTGGTGGTTGCATCTGAGCACTAAATACACACATGCTTTTTTTTAGTTTTTGGGGTTCTGGCCCTGAAAGAGCTGGATTTTTGTACTTTAAACTCCACAAGTATTTTAAGTTCAATAGTGGAAGGTATGTGTACCAATCTTGGTTCAGATACATCAAGCCATGTAGGAGCCTTTGTGGAACAAATATACGTACATAAATACTTTGTCTTTTAGATAGACTGCTATTCCTTATAGTCTGCTTTTATTGGACTAGATGGCCAGACAAAGATGTGAGAGCAAGGAGAGGGCTGATTGGAGTGGGTTAGGATACAATGCACAATGCAGTAGGAAATTTCAGGGGAAAGAGGAGATTCCATCTGAACATGAGGAAGAACTTCCTGACTGTGAGAGCTGTTCAGCAGTGGAACTCTCTGCCCCGGAGTGTGGTGGAGGCTCCTTCTTTGGAAGCTTTTAAACAGAGGCTGGATGGCCATCTGTCAGGGGTGATTTGAATGCAATACTCCTGCTTCTTGGCAGGGGGTTGGACTGGATGGCCCATGAGGTCTCTTCCAACTCTTTGATTCTATGATTCTATAAGTCTACATTTTCTTTTTTAAAATAAGATCAATTTCAGCAGGCAGTTACATACACACCTAGAACTATCAAAATATGGGGGAAACATGATGTGTTATTAAAAAAATCTCCAGTGTCTGTGGTCTCACATTATTAGTTCAATAGATTTCTTTTTCCTTACTGGTGTTATTTGACAACTTGTTTGAACTTGTATCATACTGCTGAAGGAAGCTTAGCTTAGGAACTGGAGAAAAGCAGAGGAATGCAAACAGAAACAGGGACAAAGAAATGCACAAACACACCTGGTTCAGATCATTACATCTCAGCTAATAAGATGAGCATTCTCTCCAGGCATGCAGGCCCTTTTCTTCTTTAATGCAATACAACAAGAACAGCTTTAGCTAACCAAATAGCAGTAGCCAGCTTTTGAACAAACCAGGATGTGAAAAAAATTCTGAACTTTGTTTTAGGATTCTAGCTTGTTCCAAAGTTAGCAACCACTGTCTTCTAATTCAGACAAAACAGGACACTGTGATTGATTTAGAACACTGGCTCCCAACCTGTAGTCCATGGACCACCAGTAGTCTGCAAGAACTAAAATATGATTCACAGCCTCACTGTTACTACACCGTTGCAACGAGAGTGACTGGTCTCGCAAATCCCTCTTATAGTGCTGAAGCTTATTAAATATGGTTTTGTTGGTGAGCAGATGGCGACTACTGGATGGTATATGTTCTGTATCAGAAACTAGAGCTGATGTGGTCTATTCAATGCAATTTAATGAATCAGCACCCCAAATAAGCAAACCGAATATAAAGTTGACCAAAAACTGATTCGTAACCCTTTTGGTACTAATGTTGGAGAGTGCTCCCTAGTCAAAGTGGTCCCTGGTCAAAAGAAGGTTGGGAACTACTGATTTAGAGGCTTCTGAATTGCATTTACACATAGAATCATAGAATCAAAGAGTTGGAAGAGACCTCATGGGCCATCCAGTCCAACCCCCTGCCAAGAAGCAGGAATATTGCCTTCAAATCACCCCTGACAGATGGCCATCCAGCCTCTGTTTAAAAGCTTCCAAAGAAGTAGCCTCCACCACACTCCGGGGCAGAGAGTTCCACTGCTGAACGGCTCTCACAGTCAGGAAGTTCTTCCTCATGTTCAGATGGAATCTCCTCTCTTGTAGTTTGAAGCCATTGTTCCGCGTCCTAGTCTCCAAGGAACCAGAAAACAAGCTTGCTCCCTCCTCCCTGTGGCTTCCTCTCACATATTTATACATGGCTATCATATCTCCTCTCAGCCTTCTCTTCTTCAGGCTAAACATGCCCAGCTCCTTAAGCCGCTCCTCATAGGGCTTGTTCTCCAGACCCTTGATCATTTTAGTCGCCCTCCTCTGGACACATTCCAGCTTGTCAATATCTCTCTTCAATTGTGGTGCCCAGAATTGGACACAATATTCCAGGTGTGGTCTAACCAAAGCGGAATAGAGGGGTAGCATGACTTCCCTAGATCTAGACACTATGCTCCTATTGATGCAGGCCAAAATCCCATTGGCTTTTTTTGCCGCCACATCACATTGTTGGCTCATGTTTAACATCCTAAGAGCAGAAGGATATGAGTGGGTTGGCACAAGATTTGAACTGCGCTATGACCATACAGAAGCAGTTGATGGCTCTAGAACCTCTGTAATTGGCAGGACAGAATTTGCTGTACTTTCCTGAGTTTATTCAGAAAAAGAAGCTTCCACCAAAGGGAATTTCAAGAAAGCTTCAAAGAGGGCCTTGCCAGAATGGTCCTGGTTTGATTTCCCAACCCTGATGCCGGCTGAACAGAGTGGAGGATTGTTAGAGGTTTCACAATAATTCCCATAAAAAAGCATAATCAAATAATTGGCCGCTCCTATTGTTTACCGGACAAGTCGTGGTTTCTGTTTCCCAGGGCAACGGCCCTTGAGCAAGCATGTGTGACTGGCATGTGATCTCTTGTGTATTTGTTCTCTTTTCTTCCTCTCTCCTCTTGGATCATTTTACGGAGGCGGAGGAGAAGGGTGGGTGGCACCCAGGCAAACTGCTGGGAGGGGGACAGAGGCAGCTTGCAAATACCATCAATACACACACTTTGGAAATGGGCATGTAAAGGAAACTCATCCCAAACGGAAAGAAAACTTCATCATACTGGTCAGATAATCATATGCAGAACACAACGTGCCATGTACAAGGCAGAGTTCACAACGTACAAGTAACCTCGCGAGCCTGTGGCCACACGCCAAGCAGCCACCCCTCCTTGCAACTCTAAAAAGGCAAGGAAAACATTGCACCGTGACTAAGCAGTTCTCAACAGCATGCAGGCCTCTGCAAAACAAAAGCACAGAGCCGAGAGGAAAAATCACCGCTCCAAAACCCTTCTTCCTCTGAGCTCCTCAGAATTCAAAAGGGCAAAGGCTCAAAAGGTGACTACGTAAAGCATATAACAAAACAGGCAAGGGGAATCCAAGGCAAGGGACACAATCATATAAAATAACCTGA